GGCTGCCTAATAATAAATACCACCCCTATTTTTTTTTTTTAAGGGGGGGGGTCAACTTTCCTATAATAATCTATTTGTGGGAATCTATAGCTGGGATCTATAATCTGATAGATTCTCCATGGTTTTGTTGGGTTTCTGTTAGATTCTGCATAGGGTTTGGTTAGATTTCTGAGATGTTCTGCATAGGTTCTGCGTGGGAATCTGTCTGGATGCCCTCTGGAACATGACCCTTTTGGCAATACTAAAAGTAAATAGAGCTAATTGACTTTTAGTATTGGAGAAAAAATTGGAGTTGGAAAAAAGTTTCTACTATTGCCATGTTGGGTCCACTATTGGCCATGCCCTCTGGACAAGGTCTGAACATGACTCTTTTGGCAATACTAAAAGTAAATAGAGCTAATTGACTTTTAGTATTGGAGATAAAACTGGAGTTGCGGAAAAATGTTTCTACTATTGACAAGATATCACTATTGGTCAGACAACATTAATATGTGTATATTATTATGTGTATATATAAATATATAAATACACATTAATCGTATCATTACCCATAAACATTTTATATATACATACATATATACATACCAGTGGGTATTGGAGTCAAAATTGAAAGATGATTTAGCAACATCTCCAACGTTTCACGCTGATAGAGTTGTTGATGTTGAGAGTACGATTGAACTATTCTCTTCTAGGGGTGCAAGCATATTCAAAGTCTCTTTAAATCTAGAATCAGAGCATCGCACTTGGCTGAGATGAACATTCAGAAAGATTCTCGACTGCAACATGCTGATGGGAACAGACAGAATCCAGAGTATGTCCAGAGTCCGACATCGGGGTACAATTTTTTGGTACCACAAAATCGACATTTTTTTCAGAATGAGTCCATGCAAATATGGTTGATATATGTATCATGTTAATGGTTGAATATAAGGATATTAACATAATCAATATACAAATACATCATAATATATCATAATATATCCATATACATGAGGGTAAATATACATATGTTATCATATGTTAATAGCTTGATCATTTTGACTCATTTTGGACCCTTCAATTTTCTGCGGTGCCAAGGCCAAGTCGTTGGATCCGCAGCGACACAAAAGGTGGATGGCTGGGGTCCAGCGGATGGCTATCAGATACTAACGACCTATAGGACCATATAGGACCATTATAGGAGCTATAGCGCATAGCAGCATAGCATCATGAAAAACAATTGAACATATCGTCTCAGAACTTGAACAAATGGATCGACTTGAACAATCTTGCTGTGGGAATGAACAAATGGTCGGACTGAAGATTGCCGAACATTGCTGAACCATTTTGGTGCTTGGCAGAATGCCAGTGTGAAGCGCGTTTGTCGTGCCAGGCAGCGACATTGACTGGAACTGCTCAAGAGATCTCAAAGGCGCTCCACACAATTTATCTTCTGGCATAGTCATTGGCTCCGCATTTACATGGCTTGATTTCGCCCAATCCAGAATTTGGCGGCCCTCTGGCTGTTTTGTTTCTGATTCTAGCTTTCCCTAACGACTTCCAACTACTTTGACAGGAGTTTCGGCCAAGGTCTTTAGTGCCCCTTCTTGCCTGTAAGTCGGTTGTAAAGTTGTAAACTGGTAGAAGCCATATCATTGTATGATATCCCCAATTTGTATTGTATTCCCATTTATACCACCCTTTCGGTGATCTTAGTATCCCTAGAAACAAGTGCGGGAGTTGCGACGAGCAAATTGCATTTTTGCCTCAGTCTCGTGCGCATCTCCACTTCGGAACCGACTACTCATTCCGATCATTGCTGGATCCACTACATGCAGTTGGTTTCAAATTGTTTCAAACATGCCTGCTTTCCCCCGGGATTGTGATCCGCACGAAATAGTAGTAGCATGTAATAGCAAGATAGTCATGGCTCCGTCACGAAGCAGATGACATCCTTTCTCATTGTTGATGCCAAGACACTTTCAGGAGCCTGCACCTGCCCGAAGTGCGGGTGCTCGTTTCTGAAAGGAGGATTGATTGAGGTTACAGAGTGGTGTTACCATTCTATAGGGATGATCATTTCATGTCATTTCATGTGCATCGAGAATGAATCATAGGGCTGTTGATGCAATGACAAGGCTCAGAACGCATCAGGTTCGATGAGTTCCATGCAATCATTGGTGCTTCCTCAAGTCCTATTTCTCACTGACCTTGCCGGCAAAAGTCAGTCTGAAGGGTTCTCGGAAATGCTAGATCTCCAGAAGTTCCCCAAAGTGTCACAGGAAAAGCTCTGGTCACCGTGCTGGTCAAAGCGTCAAAATGGAGACGATGCTGATTTTGTAAATCAGATTCTTGTATATAGTGAGATGTTCCATGCCACAAATAAAACCCCTCACAAACAAGGTTTCTGTTTCTCAGACTGGCCGTTGACCCTCACATTTTTTAAGTGACTTACCATTGCCCAGTCTCATGCAAGATGGGATGGGTGACACCCACCAAGGTGCACTGGATTCACTCCTTGGTCTTGTTCGGAAGATCTGCTGTTCATAGCTGCGTGAACCCAGGGACCAGGCAGGACCCAGGCTGTTGAACTGTCGGAACTGAGGGAACTGGATGGACCTTCCAGCTTTAAAGATCATGGATGAGTTCTGAAGCATTGAGTATTCTTAGGTCAACATATCTTATCAATTCTTATCATATATATATATTATATATATTATATATTATATATATATATATTATATATATTATATATATTATATATATATTATATATATATATATTATATATATTATATATATATATTATATATATTATATAAATATATTATATTATATATATTGTATATATATTATATCCATTATATATATATCATATTATCATTCTTTGTTCCGACTTACTTTAGTGCATTGTCATGCCGAGTTGATGAGTTGCGGATAGAGTTGTTGAAAAGTCACCCATCCCACTCGGCATTCGCAAGGAGACCTACTGGATCAGGGCCAGCCCATCTTTACAAATCGTAGAAGCCGTGATGCAATTAGCTCCGGCAAATTTTCGGTAGGCCACTGTGGTGGTGCTGGAAATGCGATGTCCAGGCTGCATGATACCCCAGACAAATTGACCTTCAAAAGCGCACTCGTTTTACAGGAATGGGGATGTCTGAAAATAGTCAGGTTTGCGGCCTTTTCAGCACACTGCAGAAGGCGGTGTGCCGCAAGGGATTTGTCAGACGCTCTCCGAGCGCAAGCAGCTGTGGGCCAGAATAAAAATGTACCCCAGAATCCAGTGGTTTGTCATGGTTTGTCATATTTACTTTCCCCAATAAGACGGCCATTTACAGTAGATCCTTTTGGGGTATGCCGTATGGTGCCGATATATACCCCATTTTCAGACCCGCCCTCATCTTTGTGCCGTGTGGTCAGCGTTTTGTGCCTGGAAGTTGATGTCGGCGCATGCTGTTGCAGATCATGTCGTGACAGCACCACTCTGTCAGCACAAAAATGCGCGTGGAAACGACTCACTGCTGCGCGGGTGATAGAGGGGCAAATGGGCAATGCATACACGAGTGATTTCATTGATTCTTGATGATCTGTGTATTAAAATATGGAAAGATACCAGGATGCCGCAATAATATTGTATGCTGCCATGTGGGACTTGCTGTGACATGCTCTTCTTTTTTGCCGCAGTGCAATCGAAGGATCACACCCCCAAACGGTGTCATCAGAGTTCCTACAAATGACATGGAGAGGCACGCCAGCCAACCTCCAAAACAAAGTTCCTGGGCAGGGTAGAATTGTTTAGTTCATGTGCACTGACTATAGTGAACAGCCTTCCCATGTTCAGAATGGAAGAGGTGAAGAGATGCAGCAATTTGGGGTTGTCCGATGGTTCATTTTCAATCTTGACAAGCAAAAACAAATCCAGAACGGGATCAGCTGAAGGAAAAGGACTGTATTTCTTGCAACTCCTTTCCTGTTGTTGCATTGAATCATGATTTACCGCCTTTTGCGGGCAATTGAAGAGAGGCTGGGAAATCGGTGACCGGAAAGTATTGGAAAGTGGTGCAATGGTTATCTAGAATGCTGGCAGCTTCTACAAGTCCGTGAGAAGCAGAACAAGTCTTGGCAGCATGGCAATTTGGCAATTGCGAGTCATGAACACAAAACGAACCGATGCTAGGCTTTGCCAATATACAAGTCCAATCTGTTCCAATATGATCCTCTAGGACTAGGATTATGCGCAGTATCAAGCAGTAGATATGGGTCTGTTTGAATAGAGTGTATCCCAAATTCATCCAAATTCCAGTGGGTTGTCATCAAAGTTGTCATCATTTCTCCATATTTTTCCTATGGTTATGATATGATATGCTATAATTGGGTCTATACCCCCATACTAGCCTGTACCATTTGATGATTTCATCTCGAAACTTGAAGCTTCGCATCTTCCCTCACCATCCCTCACCTCAGCGCAGGCCATGGTTGCCACAGTCGTGCTCAGGAGTCCAACTGAGTTTCAGGGGATGGGTCTGGTTAGTTCAAGCCATTGGAAACGCTCAACGACCTCAACGGCCCATGGGATATCATGATATATCATGGGAATTCATAGGATATGCTATGGCTACTGATGGGTTGCCAATACCTTCCGAGATCTTGCAAGACTGATAGTCTGTTGATGTTTGCTGGTTATGACATGTTATCGCATTTGTATGCACTTGTTGCATACCCCCGCAACCAAAGACGGCAAGAACAGGCTGGCATGGCAGCATAGATGGCATAGATGATATGAGATGCTGAAATCTGAAACCTGATCTTGTATGGCCTGGCTGAACATGAAACAATAAGCATCCATAGTCTAGAAAATGTATGGACATGTCATGAAATCAACGGATTTTATTTACATATATCATATATTATATATATAATATACATATGGATCAGTTTCAGGGAAAATCATGGCAAATGTGCAGGGAAACCATGGTCGGGTCCCACCAAATGGCTCTTGTTCCCAGATTTTCCCATGCAATGGACCTGAGTCGGGTTGCAGGCAAGGCTCTGGCCCGAGCTGTCCGGGTCTCTACGTGGTACATGGCGTGGAGTCTTAGCCAAGCACCACTTGGGAATCTACAGATGAGGCAAAAACAGGGGGATTTCCATGGGGGTATCCCAAAATCGATGGTTTATAATGGAAAATCCCCATCTAAAGTGGATGATTTAGGGGTACCCCCATTTCAGGACACCCCCAAATGCTAAAACCATTTGGAACCTAATTTATTCTTGATATGTCTTGAAGGTAAACACCACCAACATATTATAAAGATTTATAACACATGTTTGTTTCATATTGTTTCACACTTTTCATGACAACATATGACACAACATATGACCAACATATGACAACACTCTATTTAAACAATTTTAAAACCACCAGGATGTGGAGACATGACCAGTTTTCGCGGGTCGAAAAGAATAGCCACAGAAAGATACAGATCATAATATCAATGACAATATCATATATCATCAATTATCATCATATATCCCTTTTTTCATCATAATCCACGAAGTGTCAGTTTTTATCCCCATTTCCGGCCAGACACTCGAACAGACCGAGGTCTGGACGGAGACGTCATGGGTGGGGGCTCATCATATGCGACGCTGGCAGGGCACCTGACATCATGGAGGCGGGGGATCACCATAGGAACCACTCGTTTCCATGAAATGACTATATAGATCTACCCTCTGGTAAACTAACATAACTATTGAAAATCACCATTTTTAATGGGAAAATCAACTATTTCTATGGCCATGCCATTTTCAATAGCTATTTTGACATAACCAGAGGGTATATAGAATTATATAGATCTATATGAGTATATAGGATCACTTTAGGATCCACTGATTTGGAGAAATCATGAACAATCTATGGGGTTATAGTACGTATTATGTATTACCATCTATTAAATTATTACCATCCAATATTGATGGGGGGATTTTAAATGATATTATACGGGAATTGATTTGAAAAACATGCTAATAAAAGGACGACAACGGTTTTGAACACTGCTCATTTGTTGATGGGGGATGAATTGAATTCGGATGAATGTCAAGATATGCATCAGTGTGAGCGGGAACCGGAGTTCGCGCATGTACAGAACACATCATTCAAACAGTGCTGCAATTTTTGGGGTTTGATGCTTCGTGGCTTAAGTGCATTAAATGAAGAAAGGCACTGAACAGGGGGCAGCATGAGCACTTGCAGACTCAAACATCTGGCAGGGTGGTGGCGATGGTGTATGATGAAGAGGCCTGGACTAGGGCAGAGTATTTCAGTGTGGTCACCAGATATCTTGGTTTCTGTTACCCGGTTATATCCGGGTATTTGTGATGTCAAACCTTAATGTGATATGATGTGATATGATTCAATAATCCTAGATTAACAGGTAGGGGCACGCCCACAAGAATTTGAAAAGTGCTTCTTGAAATGATACAAGAAAGCCAGGGAGTTTGTGAATCTGGGCTTCATGTGCAGTAGAATCAATCGGATCCTGAATGATGCTAAATAGCCAGGCCTATGCTTGTGGCTCCGTACCAGCTCTGGCTGCGTGTTATAATCGCCGGGTGCGACTGCCCTCAGCGCATGAAACGATGATTGCTACATTGATGGGTCATATTTGGTGTGTATATATACGTGTATATATACGTATATATATTTCTGTATCCACGCTTGTTCTGAATGCGAAGGTGGGAACCCAAGCCTTTTTTGGTAAACAGAAGCATCACCAGCATCATGGCTTTGGGCGTAACGAAATCGGGATCGTACAATGAGCTGAACTAAGAAAGCCGGACCAAAAGCTGGGAGGAGCTTAACAGGCAGCAGAAGAAAACAAGAAAAGAAGAACAAAAAGAGTGGATCACACAGCCAAAACAGAGAAGAGAGAAGGAAACAAATAGATACACATAGTAGCAATTCTTGTTCAATATGGACCTGGAGGGAGTTGAACCCTCAAATCAAGTTCAAACTATCTTGGTTGCTTGAAGTTGCTTCCATTTTCTAGAATTGTTTTTCCAAGGCTTGGCTCCTGAATGTTGTCTCAGATAATGTGTCCAGCACAATTGAAGATCTTCCTGAAATGACGGCTGTTTGTTTCTTAATACCCCGTGATTGCTCACCATATCCTCATAGGTTGTGGGGTCATCCCCACACATCGATCGAGTTAGGCTTCCCATCTTAAATACTTGGGATGGAAGTGCATTAAATTGGAGATGACTTGGAAACATTCACTTGTATAGGTACTGGAGGATGTGTCAAAGAATGGAGAAGCTTCTGCCAGAGTCTCAGATCGCCATGAACGATGAAGTAACTTGATCGAGATCAAATCCGCCATTGACGGCTCAACCGACTGAGCCAAGGCTGAAAATCCCATAGTAGTAGCAGGTGGGAAGCCTAGCCACGTTGCAACTAACGGCAATCTTCTGAGGAAACTTGATCCACAAATTTCATCGGCTAAGCTGCTTCACTTGTGCTGATTCTTCATTGCCTCTCAGTTTGGCGGGATATTGAGGGAGAAATACCAGTGAGACTGGGGGAAGCCTTATGCGGCTGATACGAGTGCCTGTGGAGTTGCACAAATGACAATTTCAGACTTCGGACAAGCCAATACTTTGTGATGCAGAATGCAGCACCAAAGTTTTTCAGAAAACCATTTTCGTCTCTGCTTACAAGACAACAATCAAGCACCAGGCACCAGTTTCCAATCTTCAGAGGCTACAACAGACACTTGAAATGTCAGGCTACTCTTTTGGCTGCGTTCTTGCCCACCAGATGGCCTACCAGCTGTCACAGGCCCGTATTTTTGCACTTTTTTCCAACTCGCAACCATCGCAGAAAACCCACGCAGGACGGTCGCGATGTTCTCCTGGTGATGTTTGACTTAGAGGCACCGTTCCAGGGCAAGAGCACTGCCAGAAGTCTTGAAGCAGTCATAGTCTCCTGTACCATTATCAACTGGTTGCCAGAAAAATCATGTTCATGTTTCATCTTTTGTTTTCATGTCATATTATGACGTTATATAATGTTATATTATATATATATGTATAATGTTATGTACAAATATATATATATATATATATATATATATATATATGTGTGTACCTAGGGAACCTTGATCCTACGAGTTTGTAGGACATGAACTGAAACCTCGGCTTTTCCCACCTGCTTGATGAATACCTCAGGTTTTCCTTTAAAACCTTTAAAAACCTGGGTCCTGGGTTTTCAAGAAACACTTTCTAGAAGGGCCGGAAAAGCCTCTTTGTTGGAATTGCGCCATCCCATATCAGCAAAATGTGGTGGCTCAAGGATGACCATGGAAGCCTCATTGGATGGAGTGATCGCTAGAAATCATCAGTTTGTATAGCCTTTGGAAATGTGCCCCATGGACGGGCGCGATCCAATACATGAGCTGTGAGAGCTCCAGCACTATTTACCAACAAAAATCAGGAAGCGTAAAGTTAATGATGGCAAGACTTTCCGATGCAAATATCAACATGGGCATGGGACACCAATTGAGTGGGTTGTTGTAGTTCCATGGTTTGCCTTCAAACCCCTCTGACTCAAAACCCATTAGGAAAAGGTGATTATGTGGAGAAACATCCAGTCAAGGCCTCTGAGAGGGAAATATTCTTCACCTTTCCCCGCATTTCAACTTTGTTTCTGGATGTTTCCGGGATATATGGATCCAATGCCATATTTGTTTCCGTGACGGGAAGTTATGATATTTTTTTGCGGAATGTGCGTCCCGTAGAAAAGCCGTTGTAAACCGTAGAAAACTCGTCCTAATCTGTAAAAAAAAACGGGTTTCTGAAAAAAACACGTGTTTTTTCACCCGTAGAAAACCCGCAGAAAAAACATGGGTTTCTGGGGGGGGTTGGAAGGCAAGTCCAATGGGCCAAACTAACATTTTTCGTTTCAATTCATCATGGCTGTCAGCCGGGAAAAATTAGTCGATGCTTGCTTTTTGATCTTTTTGTAGGTGAATGTGACCTGGCATATAAAACTAAAAGCTGTTTATTTTTGTTTGTGGAAGCAGTTTCTTGTGAAGCATCTTACAAACATTATGTGTGTATATTTATCTCTTGATGCAAGAGGCATTTGGCCAAAAGGAGGTATAGGACGCCTTTTCTGAAAAAACACATCCCTGCCATGAGCCCTGTTACTGTTGCGTCAGAAGTTCCTACCTATGCCGAATCTGTTTTTATAAAAATGTGACAACATGACGAATACTACTTCCACGAGTGCTTGCCTGCTGCACTGCTACTCCTTGCTGCTGCTTGCTGCTGCTTACCTGCTGCTGCTTACCTGCTGCTGCTTACCTGCTGCTGCTCACCTGCTGCTTGCCTGCTGCTTGCGTGCTCCTTTCTGCTGCTTGCTGCTGCTTGCTGCTGCTTCTTCTTGCCTGCTGCTTGCTGCTGCTTACCTGCTGCTGTGCCATGGTGATTCTTCTTCCCTGATGTGACTTCCCACTACCTGATGTGACTTTTCTGTATCGCCGCCGTGCCATGGGGATGATGTGCCTTTTCCCGCCTGATGTGACTTAAGTACGGCGCCCGTATGTGCTTAACATAGCATCTCCAGACCTTTGCCAGTTCAAATAAATGGAATGAGCTATGGGGAAACAATGAGCACCTAACATAGCAGCTGTACAACATGTTCCAGAATATGTTTTCTGAATTTTTCTGAGCAAATTGATGCTAACATAGCATTTCTTCTGCCTCCAGGATTCTAGCTGCTTGCCTGCTGCTTGCCTGCTGCTTGCCTGCTGCTTGCCTGCTGCTTGCCGCTGCTTGCTGCTGCTTGCTGCTGCTTGCTGCTGCTTGCTGCTGCTTGCTGCTGCTTGATGCTGCTTCTTCTTGCCTGCTGCTTGCTGCTGCTTCTTCTTGCCTGCTGCTTGCTGCTGCTTACCTGCTGCTGTGCCATGGTGATTCTTCTTCCCTGATGTGACTTCCCACTACCTGATGTGACTTTTCTGTATCGCCGCCGTGCCATGGGGATGATGTGCCTTTTCCCGCCTGATGTGACTTAAGTACGGCGCCCGTATGTGCTTAACATAGCATCTCCAGACCTTTGCCAGTTCAAATAAATGGAATGCGCTATGGGGAAACAATGAGCACCTAACATAGCAGCTGTACAACATGTTCAAGAACAAGTTTTCATAGTGCTGTGATGGGTATGGACATGTTTTCTGAATTTTTCTGAGCAAATCGATGCTAACATAGCATTTCTTCTGCCTCCAGGATTCTAGCTGCTTGCCTGCTGCTTGCCTGCTGCTTGCTGCTCCTTGCTGCTGCTTGCTGCTGCTTACCTGCTGCTGCTCACCTGCTGCTCCGCGCGCGTGTTGGCGGAAAACGATGCTCACCCCGACTCGTTGCATTGGGATCACCACCCCGGGGAGACACACAGAGGAAACAACAAGGGGTATGGACATGTTTTATGATTTTTTCTGAGCAAATCGGTGCTAACATAGCATTTCTTCTGCCTTCCAGGATTCTAGCTGCTTGCCTGCTGCTTGCCTGCTGTTGCTGCTCCTTGCTGCTGCTTGCTGCTGCTTGCTGCTGCTTGCTGCTGCTTCTTCTTGCCTGCTGCTTGCTGCTGCTTCTTGCCTGCTGCTTGCTGCTGCTTACCTGCTGCTGTGCCATGGTGATTCTTCTTCCCTGATGTGACTTCCCACTACCTGATGTGACTTTTCTGTATCGCCGCCGTGCCATGGGGATGATGTGCCTTTTCCCGCCTGATGTGGCTTAAGTACGGCGCTCGTATGTGCTTAACATAGCATCTCCAGACCTTTGCCAGCTCAAATAAATGGAACGAGCTATGGGGAAACAATGAGCACCTAACATAGCAGCTGTACAACATGTTCAAGAACAAGTTTTCATAGTGCTGTGAGGGGTATGGACATGTTTTCTGATTTTTTTGAGCAAATCGAGGCTAACATAGCATTTCTTCTGCCTCCAGGATTCTAGCTGCTTGCCTGCTGCTTGCCTGCTGCTTGCCTGCTGCTTGCCTGCTGCTTGCCTGCTGCTTGCCTGCTGCTTGCCTGCTGCTTGCTGCTCCTTGCTGCTGCTTGCTGCTGCTTACCTGCTGCTGCTCACCTGCTGCTCACCCGCTGCTTGCCTGCTGCTTGCCTGCTGCTCCTGCTGCTTGCCTGCTGTTGCTGCTCCTTGCTACTGCTTGCTGCTGCTTGCTGCTTTCCTGCTGCTTGCCTGCTGCTTGCTGCTGCTTGCTGCTGCGTGCTGCTGCTTCTTGCCTGCTGCTTGCTGCTGCTTGCTGCTGCTTACCTGCTGCTGTGCCATGGTGATTCTTCTTCCCTGATGTGACTTCCCACTACCTGATGTGACTTTTCTGTATCGCCGCTGTGCCATGGGGATGATGTGCCTTCTCCCGCCTGATGTGACTTAAGTACGGCGCCCGTATGTGCTTAACATAGCATCTCCAGACCTTTGCCAGTTCAAATAAATGGAACGAGCTATGGGGAAACAATGAGCACCTAACATAGCAGCTGTACAACATGTTCAAGAACAAGTTTTCATAGTGCTGTGAGGGGTATGGACATGTTTTCTGAATTTTTCTGAGCAAATCGATGCTAACATAGCATTTCTTCTGCCGCTAGGATTCTAGCTGCTTGCCTGCTGCTTGCTGCTCCTTGCTGCTGCTTGCTGCTGCTTACCTGCTGCTGCTCACCTGCTGCTCCGCGCGCGTTTTGGCGGAAAACGATGCTCACCCCGACTCGTTGCATTGGGATCACCACCCCGGGGAGATACACAGAGGAAACAACAAGGGGTATGGACATGTTTTATGATTTTTTCTGAGCAAATCGATGCTAACATAGCATTTCTTCTGCCTTCCAGGATTCTAGCTGCTTGCCTGCTGCTTGCCTGCTGCTTGCCTGCTGCTTGCTGCTGCTTACCTGCTGCTGCTTACCTGCTGCTGCTCACCTGCTGCTTGCATGATGCTTGCCTGCTGCTTGCCTGCTGTTGCTGCGCCTTGCTGCTGCTTGCTGCTGCTTGCTCCTGCTTGCTGCTGCTTGCTGCTGCTTGCTGCTGCTTCTTCTTGCCTGCTGCTTGCTGCTGCTTGCTGCTGCTTGCTGCTGCTTCTTCTTGCCTGCTGCTTGCTGCTGCTTCTTGCCTGCTGCTTGCTGCTGCTTACCTGCTGCTGTGCCATGGTGATTCTTCTTCCCTGATGTGACTTCCCACTACCTGATGTGACTTTTCTGTATCGCCGCCGTGCCATGGGGATGATGTGCCTTTTCCCGCCTGATGTGACTTAAGTACGGCGCCCGTATGTGCTTAACATAGCATCTCCAAACCTTTGCCAGTTCAAATAAATGGAATGAGCTATGGGGAAACAATGAGCACCTAACATAGCAGCTGTACAACATGTTCAAGAACAAGTTTTCATAGTGCTGTGAGGGGTATGGACATGTTTTCTGAATTTTTCTGAGCAAATCGATGCTAACATAGCATTTCTTCTGCCTCCAGGATTCTAGCTGCTTGCCTGCTGCTTGCCTGCTGCTTGCCTGCTTCTTGCCTGCTGCTTGCCTGCTGCTTGCCTGCTGCTTACCTGCTGCTTGCCTGCTGCTTGCCTGCTGCTTGCCTGCTGCTTGCCTGCTGCTTGCCTGCTGTTGCTGCTCCTGGCTGCTGCTTGCTGCTGCTTGCTGCTGCTTGCTGCTGCTTCTTCTTGCCTGCTGCTTGCTGCTGCTTCTTCTTGCCTGCTGCTTGCTGCTGCTTACTTGCTGCTGTGCCATGGTGATTCTGAGATTCTTCTTCCCTGATGTGACTTCCCACTACCTGATGTGACTTTTCTGTATCGCCGCCGTGCCGTGGGGATGATGTGCCTTTTCCCGCCTGATGTGACTTAAGTACGGCGCTCGTATGTGCTTAACATAGCATCTCCAGACCTTTGCCAGCTCAAATAAATGGAATGAGCTATGGGGAAACAATGAGCACCTAACATAGCAGCTGTACAGCATGTTCAAGAACAAGCTTTCATAGTGCTGTGAGGGGTATGATCATGTTTTCTAATTTTTTCTGAGCAAATAGCAGCATTTCTTCTGCCTCCAGGATTCCAGCTGCTTGCCTGCTGCTTGCCTGCTGCTTGCCTGCTGCTTGCCTGCTGCTTGCTGCTCCTTGCTGCTGCTTGCTGCTGCTTACCTGCTGCTGCTCACCTGCTGCTTGCAAGCTGTTTGCCTGCTGTTGCTGCCCCTTGCTGCTGCTTGCTGCTGCTTCTTCTTGCCTGCTGCTTCTTGTTGCCTGCTGCTTGCTACTGCTTCTTCTTGCCTGCTGCTTGCTGCTGCTTGCTGCTGCTTCTTCTTGCCTGCTGCTTGCTGCTGCTTGCTGCTGCTTGCCTGCTGCTGCTTACCTGCTGCTGCCCACCTGCTGCTCACCTGCTGCTTGCCTGATGTTGCTGCTGCTTGCTGCTGCTGCTTCTTCCCTGCTGCTTGCTGCTTCTTCTTGCCTGCTGCTTGCTGCTGCTTGCTGCTGCTTCTTCTTGCCTGCTGCTTGCCTGCTGCTTGCTGCTGCTTGCTGCTGCTTACCTGTTGCTGTGCTATGGTGATTCTTCTTCCCTGATGTGACTTCCCGCTACCTGATGTGACTTTTCTGTATCGCCGCCGTGCCATGGGGATGATGTGCCTTTTCCCGCCTGATGTGACTTATAAAGTACGGGGCTCGTATGTGCTTAACATAGCATCTCCAAACCTTTGCCAGTTCAAATAAATGGAATGAGCTATGGGGAAACAATGAGCACCTAACATAGCAGCCGTACAACATGTTCAAGAACAAGCTTTCATAGTGCTGTGAGGGGTATGGACGTGTTTTCTGAATTTTTCTGAGCAAATCGATGCTAACATAGCATTTCTTCTGCCTCCAGGATTCTAGCTGCTTGCCTGCAGCTTGCCTGCTCCTTGCTGCTGCTTACCTGCTGCTGCTTACTGTACCTGCTGCTGCTCACCTGCTGCTCCGCGCGCGTGTTGGCGGAAAACGATGCTCACCCCGACTCGTTGCATTGGGATCACCACCCCGGGGAGATACACAGAGGAAACAACAAGGGGTATGGACATGTTTTATGATTTTTTCTGAGCAAATCGATGCTAACATAGCATTTCTTCTGCTTTCCAGGATTCTAGCTAGGTCAGTCTCTTTCAGGTGCCAGGTTAGCACTCATTGCAGTTTTTTGATCTCCATTTCCTGGGGAATGCACAAATAATGGCGCCGGGTGCTATGTTAATGAGTTGGTGCCCAACGGGCCCAAAAGCTACCTAATTCCTTTTCCCCAGGCCGCACAACGGTACCGGATGCTATGTTAATGAGTCGGTGCCAGAGCTGATTTATGCTTTGTTAAATTTCACGGGTGTATATAATCAGATAATACATAATACGTGTTTTCTTATCTATGTTAATGTTATATAATGGTGGTCTATGTGGCCTCGGGTCATGTCTTACATTTCGACATGGCACATGGCCGCGCTAGGTCACATGGCCGCCACCGAAGAGTGACGCCCGGGTCGGTGGCTACGATTTTCTCGGTGGGGAGGTTGAGGCAGGGTGACGTCCAAGATCCGAAGATCGGCGAAACAGATTCACGGAAGAGAGCGAACTATGATGATACATATGATATGATATGATGTAATTATGAGATTGTTGCATAACAGTTTTATTTATTATCCTGTTCTGTAAAAGATGTCATTTTGATCCGTTTTGATTATCTACCATTTTGACCCATCCGGAAACCCATGACATGGGAAGTGTAGATGAACTCCTAAGAGCAGGCTGAGTTGGCTGAGTTGGCTGTTGCTGTCAGGCAATTCTGCTTCTCTGCCGCGCTTTCGGAAAGCATGCATTTGCCCACCAGGCAAGACTTGAAACTTCATGAAACTTCGACCCCTAGGAGATTGACGGCCAGTGAACTGTCCCCCAACCAATCTTGAAGTTTTAGGCCGTGCTCTTGATGACCGAAGCTAAATCCAAAGGCGAAAGCCACCGACTCAGTTTTCTGAGATTGCTTAGTGCCACGAATTCTGTCTTGAGTCTGAGAAAGTGAAAAGGCACAATGGACTTGCAGTGACTCTACTCTGATGGATCATGTTTTTTCGCGAAAATCGGTCACATCAAGAATCCCAATGGACCCCAAAAAAATTCCAGTGGTTCATCCCATAATATTCCTGCCGTTCAATGGCCATGATGGATCTCCAAGGCATCGATGTGGACTACCTAAGACAGCAAGCCTTTTCCGCAATCAATCACCGTGGAATGTTACGCGGCTGATGCTTAAACGACTTGGCTGTAGCTCAAAACATTTGAAAACTCAAAATCAATGACCCTTGAAAACTTTAACCATCATTATGATCATTCATATGATTTCATATGAAACATCAGTGACATTGCGAGTCCATTGGAGACCTTTTTGATGCAAAGAATAGATCAGCTTCAAGTGACTACAGTACATTTTGAGGCACTTGTTGCACCTATCTTGTAGTCGACATCAGCACCAGGCATGAGCATTTCCAAAAATCTGAGGAGCTATGAACTCTTCAGCACACTGGTCAAAGACTCAGAGATTTGATCAGAGCCTTGAAATCCATCATGAGATTGTCCCAAAATTGGTCAACAAGATGCCATTTAAATATGACATGATGAAACATGATTATTATCAGTTGGACTGGGGGTATCCCGTTTTCACCAAGCCTTACGTTCCATGTTGCTCCCGCCGTGGTATCATGTCACTTGATGTTTCTTCGACTCGAGAACGGCGCCTTAAAGACTCAGGCAAAACGTGGTGGAGTCAACATTGAAAAGATACACACCATTTCTGATCCCTGGCAACCGTGCGGCGCCTCATCCGCGGGACTCTGGAGATATCTGGAGCATCTGGAGCTTTCCATTCACGACTTGGCCACTGAGCCATGAACTGATCCACAATTAATGCCACCTGCTTGGCAGTTTCATCTTCTTTCATCCAGGTGCCTGTTTCGATCATATTCTATCAGATTCCCTACTCGTCAGTCCGCAAAAAACATGTCATCAGTGATGTCAAGGCTTCCTCTTGAAGTGGCTCTGTATGGTTTCTTTGCTTCATGTGTGCATTTCCATCATGTTTTCTTTTTTTCCCCTGGCGCAAAAACGTTCTGACATCCTGTGTCCAGGCCCGAGAAATACCACGGGCCAGCACTTTTAGTCCTAGCACCTGACTCTGCCGAGCGCGGAGACCCGTTTTTGAACGCCGATTGCAAAGAGCATCAAAGAGCTATGGTTGGGATTAGGCTCTTGAAATCTCTTGAATCTCTTGAATAAGAAATTGAGGTTATACCGCCATTTCAAGCTATAACCTAGATTTTAGAATATTCTATGAACATACGTATGTGAACAAAATGCATACAAGAGATAAGAGACACTTGTGGTCTCTACTCACTGCTTTCAGTCCCCCCAATGATCTTAGTGGACCAGGAAAACCAAGCTCTTCTTCCGCCAAGAATTGCTGAGAAGAATTAGTAAACCTGGATGAGCAAATCATCGATTTTAAATGGCTCCGCATCTTTGAAGTCTTTGGAGTAAAACAAGTTGACGCTGCAAACATGCAGGTTTGCAAGCGCAAAGGAGGTCAACGAGCAGTACTGCTCTCAAATGGAGGCAGGATATGGCAGGATGTGTTGTCAAGGCAATCCTCTAGGTCGTAAACACGAAAGCGGTCACTGATGTCACGGCACATATGGCACTCCGCTGTCCAGCCGAAACAGGTGGTCTATGGAAAAGGTAGCCACTACAATATCCTCCAGGTCACCGATTCTGGAGGGCGTAGTCCGCGTAGTCGGCGTAGTCACATGTCAAAGTGAATCATTTGAGAAGCCAACGCTCACCTAAGAACTTTGCAACATGTATCCACATCATGCCTCCCTGATCTTGGTGGGCATGTGCTTGCAAGCTTGTTGGACGAGAGTGCCTCTCAATGCATTCTTACTGCAATCAGTTGTGAGGCGTTGTATATTGCAGCTGCAAAAACAAATGTCTACCCAATTCTTGCCACGTTTTCAACGTGATGTACATGCGTCACACCGGGAGAGCTTGCGCCGGCTCCGGCAACTCTTAGAAGGTGGAGAGGAAAGTGTGATGTGCGGAATGATTTCCAGTCTTTCCAACGAATATTCACTGCAATTTATTTTAATTTACTCTAAAAATATCCCCGTCGCCAATTGCACCACAGAATGGTGGGGTTGACCCCCCTATAATGCTACCATTCTGTGGGAAATGAGTTTGAAGCAATTTTGAAAAATGGGGTCAGATACCATTTTATAGTAATTAGTAAGTAATTAGTGGGTTTTAGAGGGTTTTGTCATTTATGGGCACCAAAACCAGCCATTCTGTAAGAGACAAAGCGCCATTTTGTAGATTTTTTTTTTCAGGGTACGTTTTCTTTTCTTTGAAGATACTGTGAATTAGCCATTGATGAGCAAAAACCAGGTAGCCATTCTATAGAGAACCAGTCGTTCCACGACATTTACCTAATCATGTGTGTGTGTGTGTTTTGTGATGTGCCAGATTATGGTTGTCACGGTTGGCTCAGAGAAACTTGAGTTTGCCCGGGCCACCTGACAGCAATGTACATCGCCCTCACGCACTTGGTGCTTTTGGCACAGAGCATTATGGTGTTGGGCGTTGGGGAGGGTTCATTTACAAAAAGACTAACAGCACATTGTTGGCGAAAGGATGTCTACTTTGTCTGTTTGCAGAAGTTGCATGAAGCAACTTCCACCCTCGTCCGAAAAGGACGATTGACAGGGTTTTGCTCTACAAAATGGCAGCTAGAAAAAGGCAGTTTGAGCCGTGTTCCTGGGGAGGTGGAAGCTCTACAGAATGGCTCTGTTTTTAAAAAAATACTTTTTTAAGAACATGAATGCGCACATTTGACCATCTTTGGATGAACATGTCAAAATGGTTGTGGATGAAAAAGATCCAAGACAGCTGACAGCCAACACCATTTTGTAGGGCCAGGGTTTGTGGCCATACCATTTAGTAGGCTGGAGAAGCGGTCCCAGAGCCATTTTGCGGACAAAAAAAATAGATCTCTACAATATTGTCCACCCAGGGAATGGCAACCTGGACCTAAAAATAAAACTTAAGAATCCCCATCGTCATAGCCCTTATAAAGTCTATCAACCTGGGTGACGTTTTACAGGTCACTTTATAAGGGACCCCATTTTACAACATTCGGATTTGTCATTTTCTAAATCCAGTCTTTCGGGCTTATCATTTCCAAACCAGGGAGGTTTGTCATTTTATAAGGGGTATCCTTATAAACTGGCGTCACCCAGGTTCCAGTCAATATTATAAGGAGCATGTCCAAAATGTATCAATATGTGTGTGTGTGTGATGTTTTTTTTCCCGGTTGGCCTTGAACAGGGGGAGCAAGCACTTGTGTCTGGCGACCTGCTTCACAAATTTTGTCAGAGGTGCTCTGAGCCCACTGGGCGTCGTTCGTTGTTGGAAGGATATCATTTCTTTCGA